AGTCATGGGGTCAGGCTGCCGGTTCGAGGCGCTTCATAAATGCTTAGTTATTGGATTTGAGGGTTAAACTATTAATCGTCAGTGTCCCATGTAAAAATAACAGCATCTGTTAATATGCTCAGAAACTTCCTTAGGCATGAAGAAACTTTTTAGAGGGAGAGTTCACTCAAAAATGTCATCATTTACTCACCCTCATATCATTTCAAACATGTATTATCTTTCTTCGGTGAAACACAAGAGATATTTAGCAGAATGTTCAAGCTGCAATTTTCATACAACGAAAGTGAATCTGTACAGGTGCTATCAAGCTTAAAATATGACAAAAATAACCATAATTTCACTTTTAAAATAGTCCACATGACTTGTAGGCCTAAAACAAAAAGCAGAGCAAAGAAAAGCAAAGCAAAACACAAAACGAAACAAAGCAAAGCAAAACGAAACGAAACGAAGCAAAGCAAAACGAAACGAAACGAAGCAAAGCAAAACACAAAACAAAGCAAAGCAAAACATGAAACAAAGCAGCAGAGCAAAACACACATGAAACAAAGCAAAGCAAAACACAAAGCGAAACAAAGCAAAACAAAGCAAAGCCAAACACAAAACAAAGCAAAGCACAGCAAAACAAAGAAAAACAAAACAAAAAAGCAAAACAAAATGAAGCTAAGCAAAACAAAAAATGAAACAAAAAGCAAAATACAAAATGGAACAAAGCAAAACTAAACAAAAAGCAAAACATGGAACAAAGCAAACCACAGCAAAACAAAAAGCAAAGCACAGAAAAACAAAAAACGAAGCAAAGCGAAACTAAAAAACTAAATATAAATTTTTTTTTAAAAAAAAAGCAAAGCAAGGTAAAACAAACGAATAAAAAAATAGAACAAATAAAAAATGAAACATACCACGGCCATGTTTAAAGATCTAGGCCTGCATGCCTGTAGTTTGAGACCAATAATCTAAATTATTGACAGAATCCAGTTATACTGATACAGTGATGTTGGCACACCTCCCCTAGTAAATACTATCAAAGTAATTAATACAATTTGACACCTAATTTAAATAAATCAAGGATTTATATAAGGATGAAATGCGTTCAAACTGGGAATGATGCAAAAGCCTGGAAGTTAATATTTGAGAGTACTGCCTTAACAACACACTAAAATAATTCAGTTCCTCTGATTTGTGTGCTTAGGAAATAATTCATGGCAAATATCATGGGAACACTGCCTTCATGTGATAATTACAGTATTTATGCCAGACTACCATGGTATCCGTCAAGACTATTCTCTATTAAATGCCTCTTATTTGTTTGGCTAGCACATGTAGCCAGTATCTTATTTCGCTGTGGTCTGGAAGCTGTGGCGGCATGGGGTTATTTTGACTGGAGCCGCTTGTTCGTTTAAATCAAATTGAATATGAATATTTGGAGGTGTTTGGTCCCAAACCCCGTGAGGTCAACAGTCTCTGAGACACTGTCTGGTCGTTTGGTGGGTGTCTGGCTAAATCCCCCGAAATCATTTTGACCAACAGATTCAGACAGACAGTCGCATTTAAAGTGGGAAGAATTATCATCTCTACTTTCCAGTTATGCTCTTTTCTTCCAAGTATGGGTCTATGGTAATGCACAAGCAACTCTATGATATTAGGTGCAGGTTCTGAACCAGAAGAACTACAGACAAAATCCTTCAAGAGAACAAGTGATGTCCTAAAATGTTTGCAGGATAAACTTCTACAACCCCCTCATCTATTACCAGTTCACTTATTGTGGACTGTTTCAAAAGAGTTAAACTTTTTATATATTCTGTCAACATGACATCATGACTTTGCGTAAACATACACGCCACTTTCAATTCAAGTGGCGTGTTATCTATACGCATTTTGAAATATCCGCGTGTATGTCCACGCCGAAATCTTTTGCGTGTATGTCTACGCCATTAAATGTCCGAGTGATTCCGCGTGTATGTCTACGCCGTTAAATGTCCGAGCGAAACGAAGCAAAATCTATATCTACATCTGTGGAGCGATATTTCTTTTCCTAGGATGGTAGGAGAAGACTCATAAATGGTATTAACCCCAGTGACGGGTAGGTTTAGGGACGGGGTTGGGGTAGGTCATATATTTATATATGCATAATACAGTAATATAACGTTAAGTCAAAGGCGTTGATAAACACGCTGAAAAGCGATTATGCGTGTTGATAGCACGCCAAAAATGGAAATACGAATTGGCGTGTCATACATACGCCATTTCATGAGATCAGTCTGATTCTGTAGTCTTTTCACTTTTATTTTGCCAATGTTCCCACTTTTTTGGAGTGTGTTGCGTATACACAACTGTTTATATTTACGAAATACAATTATGTTTTTTACAACACAGATTCTTGATTTTACTGCATTTTACAAAATGTCCCAACTTTTCTTGATTTGGAGTTGTAAAATCGTTTGTATTATATTATATTATATTATATTATATTATATTATATTATATTATATTGTGTGCTGTCAAAATCGATTAATCATGATTAATTGCATCGATCATATACTGTGTATATATATATTAGTGCTGGGCCGTTATCGGCGTTAACGTGCTGCGTTAACGTGAGACTCTTATCGGGCGATAAAAAAAATATCGCCGTTAATCAAAGTTGGGTTGGGATCATAAATAGCTTTTTCGAATATCGTTATATTTTCGCGCAATTCTAATGTGTAGTATGACGCCGCGCCTACTGTCACAGATCGCGCAGTAGGGTATTTTCCTGTCAGGGACACAAGGTGTACTTTTACTTTGTTACGTTGGGCGACGTTCCTCTCGTTACTTTATTTTAATGCAATACGTTGTTAAATGAGTTTATTCCAAGCGCACTGTGTCCTTTGTATGGGCATGAGCGATGCTCATTTACAAATGAATCACTCTTTTGAGTCGATTCTGTTCAAAGACTTCATCAAACAAGTTGTCAGATGATCTGTCTAAATAGGTTCGCGAATCAGTTGATCTGTTCAGTTCCTCGCGCACTGAATCGTCTGAAGCGCTTTCAATTCACACTCTGAGTCGAAACAGGAAGTTCTCTTTCATCATCTCGTGTTCGAGATCCACCTATGGGAAGGGCATCCGTACCTGACCTCTGCAGAAGCATCCAATTGCACCAAGTCTGGCTAGACAGACAGAAGCGCGCAGCCAATGCCAGGTGAGGCCACACCCCCTCACCTACGGGCATATAACATCTGGGCGCGCTGCTATTCCTCAGTTGACATTCGCTTCTCGCGATCTCTGCATCTCACAGCTCGGTTGATTGTTTACACTGCTCACCTCGTGTCTTCAGGAGGACATATCTACCAGATTAGCCTCCGCCGGACGTGACAGTTGTTTATTTTTCAACTACTGCTGCTTTGCATTCGGAGCCGCCCACGCTCTCGCTATTTTCACCGTTTCTCCTCACGGCTGCCCGCCACGGATTTCTCCGTTTTCTTCGCTGGTATGTCACTGTCTAAGCCTGCAGCCTCTCCAGGGGATAGCATATCACGGGCCTGCCCGGCCGCGTGTGGTGCCCTTATCGCAGCTAAGGATCTTCATCAGCTTTGCGTGGTCTGTTTGGGTCTTAAGCACGCTCTGGAAGCCCTGGAGAACCCGGAGAATTGCAGTTTCTGCCTCATGCTGCCTAGGAAGCTGCTTAAACGCCGTCTTAAGGTGGCAGTGACACAGTGCACCGGGCTCAGCCCTTCTGACTCGGACGGGGGACACGGTGATGACGACGCGCTACCGGGGGCCTCCCGGGGCGCAACGTCTCTCGTCTGGGCTGACCAGCCCAATCCCGCCTTCCCCGAGGAGGACATCTTCGGGGACAACCTCGCTCTCGTCCACGAACTGCCCGGTTCTGGCGAAGAGGAGGATGCGGCCATTCTTGGGGTTTCAGAGGACGAGGAGGCCATCCCGCCCTCTGGTGTTCCCCAGGCTACCGCCCACGCGGTTCTGCCTCAAGCCATCCTCCTGGAAGTGTGTGAGCGAGCGGCCGCTCGTCTCAACATCGAATGGCCGGCACCGCAGAGCGCCACCGACCAGGAGAGGGATATTTATGATGGGAAAGTGCTGGGACCCCTCCCGGCCCGAGGAAACAACTCTTCCCCATCCTCCCGGCGTGCGCGAAGCACATGAGAAATTATTGGAGCGACCCGCTCGACTTCAAACACGGTCTCACGGGACTCGAGGTTAAGGACATGGCGGCGCACGGTATGGGCGAACCTCCCACCGTTGAGCCTTCCATCGCCAGGCACCTTAACCCCGCTCAGGGCGGGCTGCTCGCTCCCCCTAAGCCGGTCTTGCCCAACAAGATGGACCGTTTTGCTGCCTCCGTTCACCAGGCAGCTTATAAGTCCTCGGCCGTGGCTGTCAGGGCCCTTAACGTTTCTTCGCTCCTCTCCGCCTACCAGGCGGAGATCCTCGAAGAGTTAGTGCAACAATTGGAAAAGGGAAATCCTTCTGAAACCCTGTGGAAGGAGATCCTCACGGTGAACGACCTCGTCCTCCGCAACGCTCGGCAGGCCGTCCAAGCTTGCGGGCGCTCCATGGCGCTTTCCGTGGTCGGAGAGTGCGCGCTCTGGCTGAACCTGTCGGGACTCCCTGACAGTGAGAAACGGCGCATCGCGGGCGCGCCGGTGGAGCCCGGCCGGGCTCTCTTCGGCCCCGCCGTCGCACTGATGCAACAACGGTGTGACGATAAGAAGGAGGATGAGGCTTTCAAGCTTTGCCTTCCCAGGAAGTCAGTCCCACGCCAGGCGCCCCCTGTGCGTTTGCCTAACCCACCAGCCACGGGACGACAGTTTCATCAGGGCAAAGAAAAGCCCCGCAACCAACCACCCCCTCGGCAACATAACCCAGCACCTACACACAAGCACTGGGGTAAGCCCGCTCCCGCCGCGGCCGCGGCCGGGAGACCTGCGAATTCCAACCCCACCGACTCGAAACGCAAGCGGCCTGCCTGATGTTCAGCCGATGGGGGCTTCGAGTCCATGTTCATGGGCCGCAAGCCCTTCGGACTCCCCTCCTCTTCTAGGACCCCCGTCCAAAAAACCCAGGAGGTCCCGCGGATGGGTCAGCTCTCCGCCTGTAAACGAGACTGCCCAGCTCGTGTGTTTGAGAAATGTGTGTTTTCCCCCCACGTTCAGGGGGCCCTTTGTGAGGGAAATTTTAAGCTTAGTGACACCACACTGCCCACACTCTGTTCCCCTCACTCTCTCAATAAAGGCTTCGGCCCCAGTGTTTGCCCAACACAAAACACACAAAACACAAAAAAATATGAATCAAATGAATTCGTTTCGGAGAGAAAACCTCTCTCCGCAGAGAGAATTCATCTCACTGCAGAGAGAGGAAATCCCTCCAAACCCCTGCATGTCGCCTCTAGTGTGCCCACTAGATGGCGCCATTGCATCACAAATAAACCTGTCGGTCTCACACAGCTCCGCTCTGGCCCGAGCGGGAGCTCTCGCGAGTCACGAAGCGGCTTGGCGAACCGTTTCAGCTCCCGAGTGGGTGATGCGTACAGTAATGCAGGGTTACAGATTGCAATTCGCAGTAAAACCCCCGCATTTCAACGGCATTCTCTGTTCTCACACGGAAGAGAATGCCTCTCACATTCTGAAAGAGGAAATTTCATCTCTCTTAAACAAGGGAGCGATTCAGGTGGTATCCCCCAATCTGATGAACCAGGGTTTTTATTCCCGTTATTTTCTGGTCCCGAAAAAAGGCGGCTCTCTCCGCCCTATCTTGGACCTTCGAGTGTTGAACAAACATTTGAGGAAATACAATTTCAGAATGCTGTCACAAGGCGCACTCGCCCGTGCCATAAAACAGAACGACTGGTTCACATTAGTCGATCTGAAAGATGCTTTCTTTCACATAAGCATCTATCCTCCGCACAGGAAGTTTCTTCGTTTCGCCTACCAGGGCATATGTTACGAATTCACAGTTCTTCCGTTTGGACTCAGTTTGAGTCCCCGGTCTTTCTGTCTGTGCGCGGAGGCGGGCTTAGCACCTCTGAGAATATCAGGTCTGAGAATCCTGACTTATATAGACGATTGGCTCATCATAGCCGAATCAAAGGAGAAGGTGTTGCAGGACACCGGCCGTGTGCTCGCGCACATCACATCGCTCGGGTTCCAAGTGAATGTGAGCAAGAGCAATTTCACGCCCAGTCAGAATGTCATTTTCCTGGGCTTGGAGTTGAATTCGGTCTCCATGCGAGCGCGCCTCTCTCAAGAGCGCGTTCGCTCTCTGATGAACTGTCTGACGCAGTTCAGAGAAGGGGCGAAAGTGCAATATCGCACATGTCTCAGGCTACAGGGTCTCATGGCTTCATCCACCCAAGTTGTGCCATTGGGACTTCTGAGGATGAAGGGCGTTCATGAAATGGGTCTTGTGTGACGTCCCTGAGTCCTCTGATCCTATTGGTCCAGCCGTGGGAGTTCCTGATTGGTTTTCCCCATACTAATTATTAATTGGCTTAGAGTATAAAAGAGTACTGTGCCTTCTTAAGGGAGGGCACTCTTTGGAGAAACTCTCCTCAGGAGTGGCTCCTCCGGGTATTTGTCTTACACATGTAGCGTCAAAGATATTATTGTTTGTTAACCTGTTGTTTTCCTTTATCCCTAGACTTCTGTTTATTTTTGTTTCCGATTGTATGTTTAATGTAATAAAACTCTTTTGAATTGCAACGTGCTGTTTGAATCCTCTTTTGTGTTGCGGCCTGATACTAGCGGGTCGTAACATAAAATTGGGCGCTCGTCCTGGATGCTGCATGTGTAAGTAAATACATAGTGTTTAAGGTGTTCACTCTTTTTGAATGAGTAGACTTCAGGTAGTTAGAGTGTTCTCAGCTGGGTTTAAAACTCTTCCGTCGAGGCACTGTTTGTTATTTTTTTTGTTATTTTGCCTTTCTTATTTTTGAAGGTTATTCTGGACGGGGGTTTTAAATCTCTGTTGGGGTACGCTTCAGGCTTTTGGTTTAAAACGCCAATTGTCCTTGAGCTCAGCGTTTAAATACCGCCCCGAGTCCGGTACACCTTTGAAGACTAGGTAGGTTTAGTTAGTGTTGTTTATAGTTAGGAACTGGAGTCTCTCATTTTCATTTAAGGTGACACTTTTTGTTTTCTGCATCCGCATATTTGATGTCTGCTGATTATGAAGATAATTTGAGATGACTTGTGGTAAGTCTTTGTTTATCTCATAACGAAAGTGCGGATTCTAACTGGAGCATGTGTGGGTGACAATACCAGGCGAAGTGGCTGATGGGATTTGTAGTCCTAGTGCTCTAGTTTAGCGGCGTCTCACGTGTGCGGTTGTATTGTTGTGTTTCTCTGCTGCCTCTTTTAACAGAAATGTCGTCGGTGATCGAGGATTTCTTCTCATTTCCTTCGGAAATCTTACTGGAGAGATGCACGAAGGAAGAGTTGTTGCAGATTGCCGAGCGCTTTGATGTGGAGGTAACGAGTAATGATAAGAAGCTGAAAGACACGTTGGTGAAAGTTGTGAAAAATGCACTTTTTGAGCGGGGTGTTTTAGAGGTAAGAGCTCAAGATATTGATCCTGAAGAGTCTTTAACCTCTCCTCTTTATGCTGCCGATCGAAATGTGAAATTTAGTGAGATGTCTTTGCAAGAGAAACAGTTATGTGTGGATGCGGAAAAATTACGTGCTGAGCGTGACGCTTGTGCACTGAAAGAAAGTGATCTTGAAATGAGAAAACTAGAGTTACAACAGGAACTAGAGTTACGTAAACTGGAGTTACAATCTGAAAGGGAGGAAAGAGATTTTCAGTTGAGGAAAATGGAATTAGAGTTGCATGCACAAACAGTTGAAACTCCACGTCATGCATCGTCTGTGGAAACTGTGTTAATTGCACCTGGTTTTGACGTTTACAAAAACATTAGACTTGTACCGCTGTTTTCAGAGAAGGAAGTAGAGAAATATTTTCAACATTTTGAGCGTGTTGCAGAGTCTTTAAGATGGCCAAAAGAATTTTGGACCTTACTATTGCAATGTGTTTTAGTAGGAAGAGCACAGGATGTTTATTCAGCGTTGACTATGGAACAAAGTGGTGATTATGAAATTGTTAAGTCTGCTATTTTGCATGCTTATGAACTGGCACCCGAAGCATATCGCCAGAAATTTAGAAGTCACTTTAAGGCTGAAAACTGTACATATCTTGAGTTTGCTAGAGAGAAAGAGAATTTGTTTGACCATTGGTGTACCTCAGTAAAAGTAACCACCAAGGAACAGCTTAGAGAACTGATTCTTTTAGAGGAGTTTAAAAACTGTGTTCCAAATGCTGTTGCTATGTACTTCAATGAGCATAAAGTGAGTAAAATGTCCGATGCTGCTCTTATGGCAGATGAGTTTGTTCTTACTCATAAAATTTCTGTCAATAACTTCAATGATTTGAGCAGGCCTAAGTTGAGTGTTACTGGTAGATCTAAACAGATGGTTTCACGCCAGAATACTGTGTCAAATAGTTCTGATAACACTTCACGTTTGAAAGCTGAGATGGTTTGTTTCTACTGTAAGAAGGTAGGACATAAAATTGCAGACTGTTTCGCTCTCAAAAAGAAAGAGAAGGGTGTTAAACCTGTGGGTTTAATATCTACATCGAATGTGAATCATATTTCTGCTCGATTTAATGAACAGGTTGAACGGGTAGATATTACTGAGAAGGAGAATGGGGAAAATTGTGTTGATTTTGCACCATTTCTCACTGAAGGAACCGTGGCTTTGCCTAATTCAGATAAGACTGTACCTGTACGCATCTTACGAGATACTGGGGCGGGGCAATCCTTTTTGTTAGAAGGACTTTTGCCGTTGTCTGAACGTACTGATACGGGAACCCATGTACTGGTTAGAGGACTTGAGATGGGGTTCATGGAAGTTCCTCTACACCGCATTCATCTCGATTCTAAACTCGTGTCAGGTGAGGTGGTAGTTGGAGTTCGTGCTATGCTTCCTGTCTCAGGTGTCACTTTCATACTTGGCAATGATTTAGCCGGGGGAAATGTTTGGGAAAAGTCTGATGCTGATGTTCCACCTGTAGTGGTTTCTGTTGTTGATAAATTGGATGGATCTTCTGACTGTCCAAATTTATACCCTGCATGTGCAATAACTCGAGCGATGGCTAAGAAAAGTATGCCAGATGAAAACATTCTCTGTGATACTTTTATTGTTTCTGAAAATTCCTTTCAGCCAGAATTAAATACTGTGTATACGGATGTGGAAGATGTGATTCCAGTGCATGATTCACATGCTGTTGATAACCATGAGACTAAGTCTGATATAGTGTCAGAATCTCCATTTATCTGTGATGACCATGATAACATATCCTGCTCTTTATCTCCGCTTTATAGTGTGACTCGAGATGACCTTATCAAAGCACAGCAGGCGGATGGCACTCTGCAAGAATTGTTTTCTTTAGTTCGTGACGGAGAAGACAAGACTTCATCTCCTTTCTATTTTCTTCGAGATGGATTGCTGTATAGACAACAACCTATGAGTTTTGACTTTTCACTCGATCCTAGGATCCAAATCGTGGTTCCAATTAATTTCCGTCAAGACCTCCTACAATTATCACATCAGGGCATGGCTGGTCATATGGGGGTACGGAAGACCTATGATAGAGTGTTAAGAAAATTTTATTGGCCTAGGTGTAAGCGAGATGTGATTAATTATATCCGAACCTGTCATACTTGTCAGATGACAGGTAAGCCGAATCAAAAGGTTCCATTAGCTCCCTTACAGCCTATTGCAGCAGTTACAACACCTTTTGCACACTTGACTGTTGATTGTGTTGGTCCGTTACCAAGATCTAAGGCTGGACATGCATATTTATTCACCGTAATGTGTCAGACTACACGTTATCCTGCAGCTTATCCCCTGAGATCAATAACTTCCAAATCTATTTTAAAGGCTTTAACCAGTTTTATGTCAACTTTTGGCATTCCGGAAACTATTCAATCCGATCAGGGTTCAAATTTTATGTCCCGAAACTTTTCTAAGGTCATGCGACAACTTAAAGTTAAACATAATATATCGAGTGCTTATCATCCTCAAAGTCAAGGTTGTCTGGAAAGATTCCATCAGACTCTTAAGTCACTGTTGAGGTCTTATTGTGTCGAACTTGACTGTGACTGGGAGGAAGGACTTCCTTGGATGCTGCTCGCTATTCGTGAGGTTGTACAGGAGAGCATAGGCTTTAGCCCTAATGAGTTGGTGTTTGGACACACTGTTAGGGGTCCTATTGCTGTCTTGGCAGATGAGTGGACTAATTTGTATCCTCCTGAGAATGTTTTAGATTATGTAAGTAGTTTCCGTTATCGACTTTACGAAGCTAGAGCTATTGCTCTGCGGAAGTTAGCTAAATCTCAGAAAAAGATGCAGAGACTGTTTGATCGCAAAGTGAAGTCCAGACATTTTCAAGCCGGTGACCAAGTGCTGGCGTTGTTGCCTGTTTTGAATTCTCCTTTCCAGGCTAGGTTTGCTGGACCTTACACGATTGCGAAGTGTTTCCCGAATAACAACTATTTAGTAAACACACCCGATCGTCGAAAGAAAATACAGTTTTGTCATGTTAATTTACTAAAATCTTATGTGACTCCTGTTCCTTCTCTCTCTGTTGATGTTGTGACAGCTACTGGAATGGCAGATCCAAGTGTTTTGGAAACATCTGTAGAGATGGTTGACAATCCAGAAGAGATGAAAGGTCCCTCTCGAGGAGAAGTGGAAGGGCGGTTGAATAATTCAGAAGTTCTTGCTAACTTAGCTCACATTTTATCTCACTTGTCCGAGTCGGAGAAGGCTGATATTATTGAGTTGGTAAGCTCGTTTCACTCAATCTTTTCTGATGTTCCTACTCGAACTTCCATCGTGGAGCACGATATTGATGTTGGTACAGCTCAACCAGTGAAACAACATGCTTATCGTGTCAACCCGATTAAAAGGAAGTTACTTCAGAAAGAAGTAGATTATTTACTCGATCATGATTTAGCGGAACCTAGTTTTAGTTCTTGGAGTTCCCCGTGTATCTTAGTGAATAAACCTGATAATTCGTATCGTTTCTGTACTGATTACAGAAAGCTCAATTCTCTGACAAAGCCTGATTGTTATCCTTTACCAAGAATTGATGACTGTGTTGACCGTGTCGGCTCAGCGCAGTTCGTTAGCAAATTTGACCTCCTGAAGGGTTATTGGCAAGTGCCATTGACATCTCGTGCTAAAGAACTATCTGCTTTTGTTACACCTGATAGCTTCCTGCAGTACACAGTTATGCCTTTTGGGGTCCGAAATGCTCCCGCTACATTTCAGCGGTTAATAAATCACGTTTTGTCTGGGATGACTGGTTGTGAAGCTTACCTGGACGATGTTGTTTTGTATAGTTCTTCTTGGTCTGAACACCTTGATCAAATTAGAGAGCTCTTTGTGCGTTTAGCCAAAGCCAATTTAACTGTAAATCTTGCTAAGAGTGAGTTTGGAAAGGCCACTGTGACATACTTAGGGAAGGTGGTTGGCAGGGGTTGTGTGAAGCCGATTCACGCTAAAGTGAATGCCATCTGTAGTTTTCCCAAACCAACTACCCGTCGTGAGTTGCGACGATTTCTTGGGATGGTGGGTTACTACAGGGGTTTCTGTCATAATTTTGCAAGTGTAGTTGCCCCTCTGACTGATTTGCTAAGCCCTAAGAGACCTTTCCAATGGTCAGAACAATGTCAGTGTTCCTTTGAGAATGCCAAATCTTTATTAGCAAATGCTCCAGTGTTGTCTGCTCCTAATTTTGACAAGCATTTTCTACTTGCAGTTGATGCAAGCGCTTACGGTGCTGGTGCTGTTCTTCTACAAGAAGATTCTAACGGAATTGAACATCCAGTCAGTTATTTTTCAAAGAAATTCAATCGTCATCAGCAAGTGTATTCTACCGTGGAAAAAGAAGCATTACCTCTTATTTTAGCCGTTCAACATTTCGAGGTTTATTTGAGCTCGGTATGTGGTCCGATTACGGTATACACTGATCATAATCCGTTGACTTTCCTAGATCGAATGCGCGGTAAGAATCAGAGAATAATGCGATGGAGCCTTATTCTTCAACCTTTCCACTTGCAGATTAAACACATACGTGGCAAGGATAACATAATTGCTGATGCTCTCTCCCGTATGTAAACTGTCCCAGTAGTGTCTGGTATCTTTTCTTCTCTCTCTTTCTCCTTTATTTTTCTCTGATGTCCTAGGGCCCAGGATTTCAGGATTGAAATGGAGTGAGATTTATGGAGATGAGTATTAAAGTTATTATACATTTACATTTTTTTTTGGAATGATGGTTTTGCATTCGTATTATTTTTTTTCTCTCTTTTTGTCGGTTCTTTAGAGAACCTCCTTTTGGATTGGGAGGTGTGACGTCCCTGAGTCCTCTGATCCTATTGGTCCAGCCGTGGGAGTTCCTGATTGGTTTTCCCCATACTAATTATTAATTGGCTTAGAGTATAAAAGAGTACTGTGCCTTCTTAAGGGAGGGCACTCTTTGGAGAAACTCTCCTCAGGAGTGGCTCCTCCGGGTATTTGTCTTACACATGTAGCGTCAAAGATATTATTGTTTGTTAACCTGTTGTTTTCCTTTATCCCTAGACTTCTGTTTATTTTTGTTTCCGATTGTATGTTTAATGTAATAAAACTCTTTTGAATTGCAACGTGCTGTTTGAATCCTCTTTTGTGTTGCGGCCTGATACTAGCGGGTCGTAACACTTGTCACTACATTTCAGCCCGATTCGCGACCTTTGCCGCTCGGTAACAGTGACACGCGCCTGCTCGGCGACCTTGCGCCACTGGGAGAGCGAGAACTTTTACGCATGGGGAACCCCTCTGGGGGCGGTTACGATGCGGAAAGTTGTGACGACAGATGCGTCCTTGACAGGCTGGGGTGCCACCCAGGAGGGCAGAACGGTGAACGGTCTGTGGCCAAACAGACTACGTTCAGCGCACATAAACTATTTAGAGCTTTTAACCCTCTGGGGTCCAAGGTGTTTTTGGGGTCCTTGAGATGTTTTGACATACTCTGACATTTGTGCTTTTTTCAGTTGCTTATAAACATATTACTGGCAAAGGTGTAATTACACTCTATTTAGCACACACAGGGCTCCCATAATGTGTTATCAACATGTATGTACATTTTTGTATTTTTGAGAGAATATTGTTTATGCGTGGTTATTGAAAAAACTAAAACTTAAAGTTTCTGAAATAAGGCCACAAAACACATACTAAATATCTGTCCACAAGACATTTGACTAATGGATGTTGTCGCCTAGAGTTTTTTCTTCAAAATGATCTGAAAATCATCCTGCCTTATTATTCACATAAAACAATAGATTGGTTTAAATTTAAAAATGACACTTTTTGTTTGGAAAGGCAATATGCGCAGGGGTGTGACCTGCTGTGATTCACACCTGAGAAGACAATGGGCCCGCATAATGAGCGCATAATGGGGCTGCATACTAATGACCCCTTTCATTCAGGTGTGTCACTGAGCCACAAGAATGCAATGACAATATACACTCACCGGCCACTTTATTAGGTACACCTGTCCAACTGCTCGTTAACACTTAATTTCTAAGCAGCCAATCACATGGCGGCAACTACGTGCATTTAGGCATGTAGACATGGTCAAGACAATCTCCTGCAGTTCAAACCGAGCATCAGTATGGGGAAGAAAGGTGATTTGAGTGACTTTGAACGTGGCATGATTGTTGGTGCCAGAAGGGCTGGTCTGAGTATTTCAGAAACTGCTAATCTACTGGGATTTTCACGCACAACCATCTCTAGGGTTTACAGAGAATGGTCCGAAAAAGAAAAAACATCCAGTGAGCGGCAGTTCTGTGGGCGGAAATGCCTTGTTGATGCCAGAGGTCAGAGGAGAATGGCCAGACTGGTTCGAGCTGATAGAAGGGCAACAGTGACTGAAATAACCACTCGTTACAACCGAGGTATGCAGCAAAGCATTTGTGAAGCCACAACACGCACAACCTTGAGGCGGATGGGCTACAACAGCAGAAGACTCCACCGGGTACCACTCATCTCCACTACAAATAGGAAAAAGAGGCTACAATTTGCAAGAGCTCACCAAAATTGAACAGTTGAAGACTGGAAAAATGTTGCCTGGTCTGATGAGTCTCGATTTCTGTTGAGACATTCAGATGTTAGAGTCAGAATTTGGCGTAAACAGAATGAGAACATGGAACCATCATGCCTTGTTACCACTGTGCAGGCTGGTGGTGGTGGTGTAATGGTGTGGGGGATGTTTTCCTGGCACACTTTAGGCCCCTTAGTGCCAATTGGGCATCGTTTAAATGCCACGGCCTACCTGAGCATTGTTTCTGACCATGTCCATCCCTTTATGGCCACCATGTAACCATCCTCTGATGGCTACTTCCACCATGTCACAAAGCTCTAATCATTTCAAATTGGTTTCTTGAACATGACAATGAGTTCACTGTACTAAAATGGCCTCCACAGTCACCAGATCTCAACCCAATAGAGCATCTTTGGGATGTGGTGGAACGGGAGATTCGCATCATGGATGTGCAGCCGACAAATCTGCGGCAACTGTGTGATGCCATCATGTCAATATGGACCAAACTCCCTGAGGAATGCTTCCAGCACCTTGTTGAATCTATGCCACGAAGAATTGAGGCAGTTCTGAAGGCAAAAGGGGGTCCAACCCGTTACTAGCATGGGGTACCTAATAAAGTGGCCGGTGAGTGTATATATATATATATATATATATATATATATATAATACAAAATTGGTTCACAGTTCCAATTATTTATTTATTTTTCAAATTGTGCTTGCAAATTGTATAATATCAAATGTAAAAATTTCTAGTAATTGTGCAGTTAATTATCATACTGTTTTTACAGAAAGTTTGGGAATGTATCCCAAATGTGTCACTAATAAAACACAATACAAATAATTTAAAGAGGAGGCTTATATTGAGCTTTTAAGATTTACCTAAGATTTATTTATGTAGCCTACATATATTTTTGCTATTTTAATAAAAAGGTTACAATTACAACAACAATTAAAAGTTTACAATTACAACAACAATTAAAATTTTAACTATATTTCAAATGTAATCTTTCTTTGTATTATATACTAAAGTATACATTTTATCATACATATTTCACAGTTGCGGATTAATTAGTTTGAATATAGCTTACAATCGAACAAACACTATAATAACATCTTAGCAAACAAGCTTATTTGATGTGGCAGTATGTTACAGTAAAAACGACATCTTGTCTTTCATATGTAACATATCGTTTTTATGATTAGGACATATAAATGTTAATTTGCAGTTTAATACGTTGCTTATACAAAAATATTTTATTTCAACATATTTCAGTCGATTTTTACTCATCTCAGTATTGGAATATAGTTAGGTAAAAGCTGTTCATTCATTCACACACAAAAACGCGATTCAAACAGTCTTTTTGTTTACAGACACTATTCCATATCGCGATTAGCACAAAGCACTTGAAAATAAAGAATGTACCTATTTCCTCGGCTGGATCCGTTGCTCCTCCAAATGAAACTACCTGTAGCCTACTTCTGAGGTAATTTTTTCCAGGATTATTATTAAGATAGTACTATTATTCCTCACAGCGTCGTAAATCTGAGTCTCTTTCGGTGGGTTATCCAGCTGATGTGTGGGCGTGGATCGCCTCAGAGCATTTGTGTTTGAATAGAGCGCGCGCTCCGTGGGCGTGGTCAAATTAACTTTAATGAGCTGAGACGAGAACGACTATCATCTCTCTCTTTTCGTACAGATTACATAAAATGAGAAAAAAATTTTTATATAAATTACTTCATTTAAAAGAAGATAATTCAGGCTTCATGCCTGTGTGCCTGTATACCTGTTTGACTGAGTATTTGCAGAGTTACAGATGATTTTTCGGACGCGTTTCAGAATGGACTTCACTGACAGAGAGAACGCAGAACGCGCATCATGTTTATTTTTCTTTATTAGGCGAAAAGCACAACACTTTGTTTTTATTATGAGGTTCCACAAAAAAAATACAAACTTAACAGGATCGAATGATGTACAACACTTATATGTAAGATCAAAATTAACAGAGTAATTTGAGTCTCTTTTGCACTGATAAGGAAAAAAGTGAGCTGGTATCGCCGGCGAGACCGCCGACCCCAGAGTGTTAACCATTTGGAAAGCTCTGAATAATTTTCTGCCTCGCCTGCAGGGACATCACGTTCTAGTACGGTGCGACAATACCACGGCTGTGGCTTATATCAACCGTCAGGGCGGCATGCGCTCGTCGAAACTCCACGCTCTAGCTTACAAGCTTTTGGTGTGGAGCAGACGGGTTTTCCTGTCGTTACGCGCAACTCACGTTCCGGGCATTCTGAACAGAGGTGCGGATCTGCTATCAAGGGGAAACCCAATCTACGGAGATTGGCGTCTTCACCCTCAGATAGTGGAAATGCTATGGATGAGATTCGGACGGGCGAGCGTAGATCTATTCGCCTCGCGCGAAAACTACCATTGTCCTATGTTCTTCTCTCTAAGGGACATGGACGCGCCCCTCGGGGTAGACGCACTGGCCCACCCATGGCCCAGAGTGCTCCTGTATGCTTTTCCTCCCCTGTGCCTGATAATTCCCTCATTGGCCAGGGTGAGAGAGCAGGGCCTGTCTCTCATTCTGATAGCACCCAGGTGGCCCAAGGCACCATGGCTGGCGGAGATAATTCCTCTGTTATACGCCGAGCCGTGGCGCCTTCCCGTTCGCACGGATCTATTGTCCCAAGCCAACAGGGAGATTTACCACCCCCACCCGGACAGAGTGGCTCTCTGGGCCTGGCCCGTGAGAGGACGAACCTGAACGCACTTGGGCTTTCGCCGCGTGTGGTCGCCACTATTCAGAATGCCAGGGCCGTCTCTACACGGTCCTTATATGGCTGTAAGTGGCACGTGTTCGAAGGGTGGTGCGATGGGCGCGGTCTCACATCTTATCAGTGCTCAGTTCCTGATATTTTGTGTTTCCTTCAAGACCTCATGGAAAAAGGGAGGTCTTTTTCCACCATTAAGGTCTATTTGGCTGCGATTTCAGCCTGTCATGTGGGTTTTGAGGGCTCTACTGTCGGGCAGCACCCTCTAATCCGCAGATTTATGAAGGGTGCACGCCGCTCGTTGCCAGTCATCAGGAGAACTGTTCCGGAATGGGACCTCTCCATGGTGCTGGAAGCACTGTCTCAACATCCTTTTGAGCCCCTGGGGAGTATTTCCCTTAAGCTGCTGTCCTTCAAGACAACTTTGCTCTTGGCCTTGGCATCTGCTAAACGTGTCAGTGAGCTACATGCACTCTCGGTTCACCCCTCGTGCACTAAGTTCTCCCTCAGTGGAGATAAGGTTTCCCTTAAGCCTAACCCGGCCTTCATGCCGAAGTGCTTCCCTGCGTTCACTTCGGAGGTGTTGGAGCTGTCCGCTTTTCACCCTCCACCTTTTACCTCTCTGGAGGATCAGAGGCTGAATGCTTTGTGTCCAGTCCGTGCTTTACAGGCTTATATGACCAGGACCAACGCTTTCCGGAAGAGCGACCAGCTCTTTGTTTCATGGGCCCCTCCGCACAGAGGGAGTCCCATATCGAAGCAACGCCTCTCACATTGGGTTGTGGGCGCTATAACTATGGCTTATGAAGCAAAGGGAGTGCAGCCCCCAAGGGGCATCAGAGCTCATTCCACAAGGGGCTTAGCCGCCTCTTGGGCTTTGTTTAGGGGAGTGTCACTGCAGGACATCTGCTCCGCTGCCAGTTGGGCTTCTCCTCATACCTTTGTGCGTTACTAACGGCTAGATGTCACCAGAACCTCGGTAGCACATTCGGTTTTAGGGGTGGGGTCTTCTTAGCTCTTCCCTGTACCCTGTTGAAACCAATAAGAGTGAATGGGCCGGCTGGTCATGTTCATTTTTGCCACCAAACATTTACTTCCCGTTATGGGTATAGTTTATGTGCCTTGGTGGGTTGGGGGTACTATCATGTATGTGTCTCATGCATGCTTCATGTCCTGCTTGTCCACAGCAGTCGGTGTGGCGTCACCTTTGCAGGTTCATGATTAATGGACGTGTCAGGCACCGCCTCCCCGAGGTGACCGTCTTTCTCTGGCTTTCAGAACCTCACTGTGAGTGTATTGGGCAATCGGTGAGCTGTCCATGTCTCTCCCATAGGTGGATCTCGAACACGAGATGATGAAAGAGAACAATAGGTTACTATCGTAACCCCGGTTCTCTGAAACATCGAGTGGAGAGATCCACCAGCTTTGCCCCGCTTGCCGCACGAGAAGCGAATATACTTACTGAGGAATAGCAGCGCGCCCAGATGTTATATGCCCGTAGGTGAGGGGGTGTGGCCTCACCTGGCATTGGCTGCGCGCTTCTGTCTGTCTAGCCAGACTTGGTGCAATTGGATGCTTCTGCAGAGGTCAGGTACGGATGCCCTTCCCATAGGTGGATCTCTCCACTCGATGTTTCAGAGAACCGGGGTTACGATAGTAACCTATTGATTTAAGAGCATCAAGAGCGTTGGATGAAGTGGCCGATCTACAGTCTAGTCTAGTGAATGCAAATCTGCAAATGCATCATATTTTTGCCAGCGATGAAGATCTTTATTAGTTGAACATCTTCTTAAGCTCTCTGTGAATGATTCCACAGGACGATACATTCGATTTCATTTCATTCAGGTAATACATTGTGTGTGTATTGCGCAGTGGCATAATCACACGAATAGTTTACATTGATTGAAACTAATTTGTTTAAAAATGAGGCTATTGCAGTAACAAGGCAGGTTCACATAAAATTCTTATGACATATGATGACATTATTTTTTGATCTAACGAGCATTGGCGATGCAAAAACAGACTGTCGTGCGTATTGTTTTTTTTCTTCTTCCAATTAGCCTACTATGTTTAAAAAAAGGACGAAAACATGTTACTTGTTCAATTAATAAACAGTTTGTTTGATGACAAATCGCTTAAGATGAAATTGGCCTCCCTTTCTGTCATTGCGTTTTTTTTTGTTTTTTTTACGATATTCTACTTTTGCTCCTCGATTGTCGAATGGCATTTTTGGCAGAAATGCACATCCCTACACGAGGCAAACTATTCTCAAAGACTTACTTTTAGTCATTATTTGGGTAGCACACATATTCTGAATGCCTTCGGGAGAATTCAAATGAGCCATTTTAATCTAGATTAATTTCAATATTAATCTAGATTAAAAAAAAATAATCTATGCCCACCTCTAATATACACTCACCGGCCACTTTATTAGGTACCCCATGCTAGTAACGGGTTGGACCCCCTTTTGCCTTTAGAACTGCCTCAATTCTTCGTGGCATAGATTCAACAAGGTGCTGGAAGCATTCCTCAGGGAGTTTGGTCCATATTGACATGATGGCATCACACAGTTGCCGCAGATTTGTCGGCTGCACATCCATGATGCGAATCTCCCGTTCCACCACATCCCAAAGATGCTCTATTGGGTTGAGATCTGGTGACTGTGGAGGCCATTTTAGTACAGTGAACTCATTGTCATGTTCAAGAAACCAATTTGAAATGATTAGAGCTTTGTGACATGGTGGAAGTAGCCATCAGAGGATGGGTACATGGTGGCCATAAAGGAATGGACATGGTCAGAAACAATGCTCAGGTAGGCCGTGGCATTTAAACGATGCCCAATTGGCACTAAGGGGCCTAAAGTGTGCCAGGAAAACATCCCCCACACCATTACACCACCACCACCAGCCTGCACAGTGGTAACAAGGCATGATGGTTCCATGTTCTCATTCTGTTTACGCCAAATTCTGACTCTAACATCTGAATGTCTCAACAGAAATCGAGACTCATCAGACCAGGCAACATTTTTCCAGTCTTCAACTGTTCAATTTTGGTGAGCTCTTGCAAATTGTAGCCTCTTTTTCCTATTTGTAGTGGAGATGAGTGGTACCCGGTGGAGTCTTCTGCTGTTGTAGCCCATCCGCCTCAAGGTTGTGCGTGTTGTGGCTTCACAAATGCTTTGCTGCATACCTCGGTTGTAACGAGTGGTTATTTCAGTCACTGTTGCCCTTCTATCAGCTCGAACCAGTCTGGCCATTCTCCTCTGACCTCTGGCATCAACAAGGCATTTCCGCCCACAGAACTGCCGCTCACTGGATGTTTTTTCTTTTTCGGACCATTCTCTGTAAACCCTAGAGATGGTTGTGCGTGAAAATCCCAGTAGATTAGCAGTTTCTGAAATACTCAGACCAGCCCTTCTGGCACCAACAATCATGCCACGTTCAAAGTCACTCAAATCAACTTTCTTCCCCATACTGATGCTCGGTTTGAACTGCAGGACAATGTCTTGACCATGTCCACATGCCTAAATGCACTGAGTTGCCGCCATGTGATTGGCTGCTTAGAAATTAAGTGTTAACGAGCAGTTGGACAGGTGTACCTAATAAAGTGGCCGGTGAGTGTATATATACACACACACCTATGTATGCATATATATGCGATTAATTGCAATTAATCGATTTGACAGTAATAATTACATTATATTATATTAAACTATATCAAAGTTGCAAGTTTGGGGTCCGTAAGATTTTTTTTAAAGAAATTAATATTTTTATTCAGCGAGGACACGTTAAATTGATCAGTGATAGTAAAGAATTTAACATTTTTAAAATTAAAATAATTATATTTCAATTTCTTGGAATTATTTCTTTTGAACTTTCTATTCATCAAAGAATCGTGAAAATGATTAGTTCCGAAATGTTTTATCAGTTTAGTTCTTAATAATAAATATAAAAAATAAAATAAAATAGCTGGCACTAGAAATTAGGCACTTCATCTTTAAGAATCTATCTAACTTAAGCATTACCTCATCAATAAACCATCAGCAAGACGGTGTTTTACAGAGCTGTTATTATAGCCACAGCTCTTTAATCAGCCTTTAGCTTGCAAATGACCCTTTAAGCACACCTAAAACATCAGGCCCATCTGGAAACTTTCAACAGACCAAATCAACCAAACCTACAATATCATAGGTCAAAATATCAATGACGCCATGGATCTGTAAACCTCTGCGATGCATGCTGTTTTGTGAAAAGAATTTATCGTGGGTGGAAATGACAATAAACTGCATCTGGATGAAGAATGTACTGCAGGAGACTTTAGAACTGAGACTTTTAATAGAGAAGAGTATATTGAGACTTGAGGGTGGACTCTTTTGACTTGGGGTGGTACGCAAGTACCTACTGTATATTTACCAATGCCACTGGCAACCATCCAAAACACTAGGGGTGTAACGATACACAAAATTGACGGTTCGGTTTTCCCACGGTTTTGACGTCTCGGTTCGGTTCGATTCGGTTCGGTTTAGAAAGCTAAAATTGCTTCTTTTTTTTTCTTTTCTTTTTTAAACAGTGGTTTAATGAATAAATGGTCTTTGTCTTTAAATTAATTCAATTACAATTAAACGTTTCACAAGGATTAAAAAAAAATGGACACTGAATCACTTGCCTGTTGAGGTAAATATAATGCTAGTGACAAGCTATGCTGTTTTATTGACGTCTTTCCGCTGCTGAAACACTGATTGAGCGATTACACGAGTTATGATGCCTTTCAGTAAGTATACTGCATCTTTCAACATACCTTCAGGTGTCCATTCCGTAACTGAGGAAGAGATGATCGCGTTTACCCGCGCGCCGCGTTGCCGTTTGAAATGAGGAGCTTAGTAGGCATAGAGCGATCTGTCACGCCACATCAAAGAGCGCCAAAACGCCATTTATTGTTTGAATTTCGTATCAAATAGACAAATTCGAAAGATTACACCTTGCTTATTATCGAAAGTAACAAAACACGGAGCTTGTTATTTGGTGTTAATGGTGGTTAGCTACAAAACTGAATTCGTTGTGTACTGTACACAAGACATGAGGTCTCACAAGACACCCCTACAAAACACTGAATTGAAATTTTCACGAGAACTATACCTTTAAATTGCACTGTTCTCTGCAATATGAGCACTCCATCATGTTCCCATTGGCCTTGGCTCAACTCATTTGCTCATAATCACAGGAACTGGCTGTTTAAAGTAGTTTAGCAAAGGCTGGGACTTTTAACAAGAGGTTTTGCTCAAATTGATGGTGAATTTCAACTGGCAACGACTTCACAGAGATCGATAAGTATTTTCTTACTTCATCTGAATATCGCTGAGATGAGAAGCGCTTATTTCTTTTCAGGTTCGGCGTGTTAACGAACGTGCCAGGATCCTCATTCTCACGACATTCACAGACAATTTCAAATATAAACACATGCCTAACATTTCCCCCGCAAAAAAACACACCACCAACCGCATGCCGCCGCAGCTGACTAATAAAACTTGAGAAACTGCTAGGAATTATTCCGCTTGTATCTATTACGCAAACAAGCCCTGTTTGAATTGGACAGATACTGATGCCGGACAGGGTTGCGTGTCAAACTAAATGCTGGATTGTTTTTATACACGTCAGTTTGTAAACCTCTGTTAAGTATTAGCCTTTTCAAGTAAATGCGAGTGTTTAATGGCCCTAACAGATGTGTCTTTGATACTAAACCAAAGTCCTGTCATATTCCCATGTAGCGTCCAGTTCTGAAATCCGGCCCAAAACTTCAAGCGCTTTCAGTTCAGTATCACTGCCCGACTCCATCTGAACAAATACGACTGGTCTCAGCCTCGGTATGATGATGTGTGTTTACGGAAAATATGGAAATTAAAACACTAACGCATCTTTCATGGCCGAGTAAGTGTGAGTGTGTTTATATATGAGAGAA